ATGACCCTTGTTCCTCTAGTCTCAGAGAGGCGGCAAGTTTTTAATGGTATTTTTGTTCTCAGGAACTCTCTTTTATTTTCATTGCCTGCTCTGGGAAAATAAGTACTAAGATAGTCCAGGTTAACTCTGATCCTGGGGTTGAACAGGCCATTTGCAAGAGAAATTCACTACCACAGGCAAATGGATGGTATGGCCTCACCTCTGATATGTGAAATTTCTGAATTCAGTCTCCAGTTTTCCAGTCCACACTCTTCCCATTCCTGTTGCAAGCATGTCTCTCTGTATCTTTTCATTTATTATAACCTTCAAATTAATTTGATTTCTCAAAGAAGAAATTTTACAAAGAATTGAGGTGAAGAAAAAACTTGTGCTAAAATGGAGTCACACATCTAAATGTCATTCTCAAATTAAAATCATCATAACAGGTATTTTTTTAAATTTTGCAATAGTTACTTATTAGAGAAACATTACCCATCTTTAGCCAATATGTAAAAGAAGTTACCCCACTGATTAATATCTGGAAAGCTGGGGGTTTACCATGATCAGATACATAAGCTAACTTTATTTCTATGTCTATATTGCTTCTAATTTCTAAATGTGAAGACAAGGCCTTTAGTTCATCTTTTAAGGTGAATTCTATTGATCAAAACCCCCTGATTGTTCCAGTGCTGTCCCCTAGTTTAACACCCCACAGCTCCCTGCCAAAGTTTCCAGTATGAGGTACCCCCTTGGCAGTTGCACTGGACTGGTAACAAGAGCTGCCAGGAGGCTCTGCAGTCTGGTCCCATCAAAATCAACTGCTTCCCTAGCAATTAATGGCTGAATTGTTAAATTAATTTGGAAAATCAGCTGGCTGATCTGGAAAAAAATATCTGAAAAGCTCTGTCCCCTGTCATCTCAGAGTCTGTTCACTGTGTGTTCGGTGATGATGATAGACTAAAATAATTGTAACTAGTGATTCCACAAATAAAGGATTGAACAGCATTTTTAGTAACATTAGTGCTGCTGAAAGAGTGGAAAAGAGGTTTTCTGTCACTGACCATACTTTGTACTTTGCATAATAGAAGGGAGTGGTCACTAAAAATGCAGTTTGAAATTAAATGTCCCATGTCAGTGCTTCAGGCTTTTCTGGCAAATCCTTGCTGGTGCTTCCAGCATGTATGGGTCTGACTGTGAACCTCTGGGATGTTTCTCAGTGCCCTGGGCTGCTCACGTGTGCAACTGCTCATCTCAGCACTCCATCCGTGCCTCAGATCCCCTGGCTGGTCTAAGGCATCCTGAGGGACTGGACCACCACACTCTAATTCACTTTTCAGCTTCACATCACCATTCCCTTCCCCACGGGCTGAGAGATGGCAGCACACAGTTTTTGGTGTGTTTGTCACAAGGCTGTTCCAGAGTACCCAGCAAGGGGTGTTCTTTGGCTAGAGCTTCAAAAGCAGAAGAGGAAAGCTCTGGAAAGGAATGGACAGAGCAAGACAAACTTCATTTTCTCTTGGCAGAAAAAAACTGCCACAGGACACCTGGAATCTTGTGAAGAGAAACAAGTTCTTGAATTTTTTTGCTGCAAACCTTCGTTATTAGGGAAGCCTATGCGACACCCGCGCCTCCATACATTGTGATTGTCTGTCAGAAATAATTCTTGCCAGTAAATAACACATGGTGATCACAGCTATTTCTGAATGTACCTTCAGCGCTGCTTATGAATAACTAAATATATGCAAGGTAAATGAAGGAGGGTTAATTAACTGGCTGGGCAATACCTTAGAGATTCTCATTACAGTTTGAGGCTGGACTGAAAGGCCTCCTGAGGACTCTTCTAACCTAAATTATCTTATGAGCCTGTTTAGAAGGTAGTTGGTGACAGAACACTTTTAAGAGCCCCTAATATAGAGGAGCTGCCAGTAAAAGTTGCATCCTTGGTGGTAATGGATGCTGATGGCAAGATGATACCAACAAAATGAGGTTTTCTACCATTGGAAAGTCTATCTGCTTCTCATTACTTTTTTTTTTTTTTTAGGATGTTCTATTTATATACCTTTGGATATCAGCTGGAGCAAAATAAGTTTATTTTGGCAAAAATTTAAAAAAAGAAAGAAAAACATGGTTGAATTTAGTTTTCACATAGTGGATGGCTTCGTCTGCAAGGACAGGAGAAAATCAAGTAAAAAAAACTTTGTCTTTTTTTAAAATCAAGTCTTTTGGATTTTCACTAGTGGTTTCACATCAAAATTGATTACTTTTTCTAGGGTTATTTTAATTATTAAATTCAAATTTTTTTTTTTAATATTTAGATTGCATAAAATAAGTAATTGACTCGAGTGACATTTCACTATAGCTCTGGGTTTTGCTTTTTCATTTGGTTATGGAAATAGATTTATTGTTCTGCTTTGGTTCCTTGATCTGCTTTTTGAGTAAGAAGGGCCCAGTTCAGAAGTTGGAGCTGAGAGGGATTTATCAGCCTTTATCAAAAGGTGTATGTTTGCTTACCTTAAAGCAAGCCATTTCCCAAATGGCCATTTTATAAGAGGGAATATTCGGGATTTGCTGTAATGAATGTTTCCACCTGTGCCAAAGACAAGTGGAACAGCACAGGGAGCCCAGCCAAGTGCACAGGGCCTCCTCCTCGTGTGTGTGTCACATCAGCAAGGCTGGGCTGAGCTAATCCTGCCTTGTGGCCACACAGGGATGAGTGGTGTGGCCACGGACACCAGGGCTGAGCCAGAGCAGAGAGAGAAGGAGGATGCAGCCATGGTGCTGGCAGAGAAATGGCAGCAGGCGTGAAGGAGGCAGGGAGTGCTTCCTTGGGGTGCTGCTGCCTGGGGAGATGTTCTCTGGAGGTGTCAGTGGGGTGTGGGAGGTGTGACGTGCTCTGGAGGCAGGAGCTGCCTGCCTCTGTGCCTGGGCACGAGGGATTAGCCCACCTCCATTTCAGCATTGCTCAGAACGTGCCTGGTTCTGGATGTGTCTCCAGACAGAGACATCAAGGCAGGCTTTAAAACACAGGGACTGACAAACCCTGGAGGCTTCCCTTCCCTGCCACGTGAGGGGCTTTTTGGGATTTCTGCAGCTGCTCGTGTGCACTGGAGCTTTTCCTGGGGAAGTCTCAGATTCTGAATCCTGACACCACTCACAAGGTTATCAGCTCATTCCTGGTAAGAACATCTGATCCGTGCTGCCCAGATTTACTGCCTCCAAATCACAGCCATTTGCTGTGGTAACAACTGTCTTGAGCAGTCCTAATCCATGGCAGAATTACTTTGAAAGGTTTGGGGGCATATGGGGATAATAGTGAGCAGCCAGAGAAAAGCCATTTACTTGATTAAAAGACCCACAGATATGCTGAGTTCATTTCACAGAGGATTTACAGCCATCTTATTGGAACTTTTTTCTCTTACAGGCTGAATTCGAGTAAGAATTTGTGCAGTTTAAGAAGAAATCCAGTCAGGCACACACAAATGTGTTACCATGAGATGCACTGATAACCCTAGTCTGTGAGGCTACAGTTTATTTTCAACAGCAATAAAGTGGCCATAAATCTATATATTGACTTTGTTCTAATTTTTATTAGTACAATAAATGAAGGCACAGGACGTCCCTTTTCTGTGATTTTCTTTTTTCATCTTAGCAAATTGTGGCCTATTACTGTCTCTCACATCACCTGCAAAATGTAGCTGCTGTGTTTGTGCTAAACACCAGCCACCATGTTCCAAGAGCTGTTGGGCTGTTGAGTTCACATAGTAGTAGTAGTAATAATAATAATAAATAATAATAATAATAATAATAATAATAATAATAATAATAATAATAATAATAATAATAATAATAATCTGTTTGGGACTCATTTAAGGAGCACAGATTCACGTCAAGCCAAACACTGCACAGGCCACTGGAAAAGGCAAAGTATTTTTAGATGTTATAAACATCACCTATTTTCTTTAACTGCTTTGTCCTTTAATGTTTTTTCCTGGTTTCCTGCTTAACGCTGTTTCCATGTGGGCACTGATCTTTGAGTGTGTCTATACACAGTTATTTTTCAGGTCCTTGAATAGTTTACTCCTTGCTGCTTTGGTACCTGAGGCAACAAAGGAAGCAACACTTGGTGCACTTCAGCTGATTCTCCACTGTTTGTCATCAGTGAGACCACCAACTCCTTTTCCTTCTGCACACCTCAGAACTCTCCAGTTCGTCTTGTGGGCTTCAAAAGTGGCAGTTGCATTGTACAGACATTCCTCTTGTCCCCTGAAGTGACTCCTGAAAGGTGCAGTATTTGCTGTACTGTAGACCCGATGCCTAACAAGTTTCAGGATTATCTGGTAAGAAAAGTGTTTGAATTCTCTCAGATTGAGAAGCAGAGGTAAGAGTTTAAAACAGACCTAGGAAGGCCATTGCAGGGCTTTTTCTCTAGTTTTGCTTCCTTTATGAGTAAGAAAGGGATAGTTTGTAGGATCAGATTCAGCTGTGGAGCCTTGAACACCTGAAGAAGATCTCAGTGGGCTGAAGGTGTGGCTGCTTCCCCTTGCAGTCAGCCAGCCCAGAGCTCCAGTTCAGGGGGGGCTGCAGGTGCCTCAAACTGGCCCTGGTGCCTTCTGTATGCAGGGCAACACCCCAAGGTAGCATCACTGCTTTTTCCTCCGCATCTTAGGAACTTCTGCTGGCCCCATGTTCACTGGGAGGAGGCTACCCTGTTGTCCCTCACCTCCCCCTGAAAATATCTCTGAGTTACATCAAGAGCTGTAGATCATCTTGAATTTCCAGCATTGCTGTTGCTGTTTCTGCCATCAGCCCTGAGTTATTTTCCTGATAGCTGCAGGGGAATACAATCCCACTGTCTGAAGGGCCTGAATGAGACTCTGAGTCCTGTACCTGCCCCTGTGGACATTGCTGAAGAAAAAACTTAGGTGACTAATTCTGATGTGTGCAGAATATCCACAGTATTTAGGCAGTTCATCTTGAAGAAAGATTTTAAGTAATATTTTAGATTTCTTTTTTTGTTTTCTTGTGAGTGTTGTTGTCTGAATATTTTCTTGAAATGTCTCTGAAAAAATTATGTTCACTACAACCTCTTTATAGTATATGTGTTTTATATAATGTAGTTTGAATAGTTTGTCTTAGTTGACACCTGACTGTTTTAATTTATTCCTTCCTGAAAAACATCAACTTTTAGTTTTCTGACAGTTCTTGAAATCAAGGAAAAAGCATAGAGGGAATGCATGTTAGTTGCTATAATGATAAATTGGTCATCTGGCTTGACCAGTTATAGATCATAAAAATGCAATCTTTACTATGAAGGAAGAATTAAGTCTGTGGCAGTCTGTGAGAAAATGAAGAAGGTGGAGATGATTGAAGTCTAGGATTTAGCTGGGCTTGCAGAGAAGGCACCTCATTAAGAAATTCTGACAGCCTCCCTCCTGGCACGTGAAGTTGCACTGTTGTGACACTACAGAAGTTAATGAGGAGGTTTGTTCTAATTATAGCGGAGCAAGAAATTGGAGATTGGAGATGGAGCTCTCTGAAGCGTTGCAACTAAATGGTAAAGCAGACTTCAGTGAAACAAGGGTGTTGTTCACATTAGTCCTGATCTCCCAGTCAGACCAGCTTACCCAGACCTCCTCCTCCCCACACTGGGCTGCAGGACCATTCCCAGATCACTTGAAACTGTGCTGTGTTTAAAGCAGAGCAGTTTGTCCCTTCCTCAGTGCTGATACATGGCTTAGGCGGCCTTCTACTGGCAGTACTAGCCTTTTGGCCAAGAAGCTTTTCCTGCTAGGAAGGCTCACTTTTAGGAATTAACCTTTAAATAACATGCTACCTACAGTAACTATAATTTCTTTAACTACTTGTAGTATTGATGTCTGGTTTGCATTAACTGTTTAATGCAAGCAGGCCAGACATGAAAACAGAGGAGTTTAGTACCTCTGGAATGGTCTGTCTTAGGCAAAAGGAACAACAGTCCTGGTTTTGGCCGGGACTGTGCATGAGCTCAGCCATGCACCCAAAAGAGCCAGAAGTGCATCAGCAGCCCCTTAAAATCTGCATCAGATGTTTTGCTGGCTCAGTATCTCACAGATTGCTGAATGCCTTTTAGGCAGCGGAGTGTTGGTTGCACAGAGAGAAGTGATTTGGGTGGCAGTATGGGAGGGCAGCTCTCATTAAGCTGTGGGCTTTGAGAAGCTCCTCGATAGTGCTTCTGCAGCAACTGCCAGTGCTAATTTTGTAAGTGTTCCAGCTCTTTTTAAGATCATCCGAGTGGTGCAGCACAGATTAAATGTGCAGCTCCAATGTGTTGTTATGAGATGCCTTTTAAAATTCTATCGACAGCCTCTGGTGTAGGAACTTCACCATCTGCTGCAGTCTGAAAGCATAAGAGGGAAAAATCTATAGCTGGTGCAAATCCAGGCAAGCCATGCTGAGGAGGAGTTTGTCCCATAGCTGCTATATAGCAGACTAGACAAATGTTTTAGTAAAGGTGTCAGTCTCTGGGGTGCAACATCCTTTTCCAGTTTGGGAAATGCTTTGGGGCATCATACAGAATTATTTCTGTGCGTGGCTGCCAGCACAGTGTATCAGGTGGTGTTTCTTCACAGGGGATAACCGCTTTGCAGCTTTGAGACAGCAGATTCTGTGTGAGTACATCTTGGTGGTGGATAAAAGCCTCATCAGGCAAGCATCTTGCAGGAAGAAATAGGAGATATTTAAACTCAAGGATATCACTGAAAACGGTGGCTTTCTGTTTTTCCCTGCATGTGGCCAGGTTGAGTTTACTGCATCCCTGTAGGTGCCACAGTAGAAGTGGAACATGAAGAGAGATTTGGAAGAGCACACAGGCCTTTTGAGGAAGTCTGCTGTCATGGGAGAGCGAAATGAGTGTGAAGGGGTCAGGAGGTTAAACCCCCAAACAGGAGAAGAATAAGAAAAGATGCTACAGTGCTGAAGATGAGGGCAGGACAGTTTCCAAGGAATAGAGATGGAGAGAGGTTCAGTAGACAGAGTGAAATAGTTAAAATTATAAGAAAGAAGAATGGATTTCAAAACTGTTTTCTTCATTGATTGCACAGATGTTGGTCAGAGCAGCATGTGCAGGATGATGTGACACTCAAGATGGGGCTGATGGTAATGACAAAATTTGTAGAAGAGAATGGGGCAGGGAAGGGTAATGTAGGTTATCAGCAGCTAAGACAAGGAAGCAACTAAACCTTTCCTACTGCAAACCTCTGCTTTTCTGATTTTTTCCATGTATGTTTAATCTGTCCTTCTAGATTCCAATATCTTCTGTACAGGGGGATAAAAAAGGCAAGAGAGATTTTGCTGAAGTATTTGCAATGTGGAAGTACTGTCTGAGTGAATATCTGCTTGTTATTTCTTCTCACTAACGTGTTTCCTTGCACATTGTTTTCACCAGACATGATTTGCCTGTATTAGGAATTATCAGTCTCAATTAACTGTGATGGATTTGCACAACCTGACTTGTGCACAATGTGGAGTCGCTCAAAACTCCACTTTTCAGCACATGACAGTTGAGATTTCTTTCTTAATCAGTGACATTAGTGGTAGGTGTTATTTATTTCTGTTATCAGGTCTTTGAGAACAGCCCCAAGGACCCATCAAAGCCCAGCATATAAAGGGTGCAGCCTCCTCCTGTAGGCTCTGGTCCCTGCCTGTGACCATGGGTAGCAGGCTCTGGTCCTCTTCCCCCAGGTCCTGGTTCTCTTGCTGAAACTCAGTGCTGAAATTGAGAGCCCTGTGGGAAGGAGAAACTGCTCTGTCCAGTAATGCACAATAAACAGGTGGGTCAGCTGTGTATGGCATAGCACAGGCTGCTACAATTCCTGCCCAATTTTGTAACTGCCAGACACTTTCCATCCCTGCTTCTCTGCTAATAAGCAAAGGCAATGATCTCAAAACTGTTCCATGAAATTCTTCTCCATTCTTGGTGCTGAGCTCCTGCAAACCAGCCATGTGTTGCTACCTAGCATTAATAGGATGCTGTCAAGTGGTGATGAAGTAAGGAGTGCTGTGACTGTTTCACACTGTCAGACAGCAAGGTATCGAGTCAGCAGCGAGCCTTTGCTGGGAGCAGCACTTTGATTGCAGCCATCTCCTGCTTCCAACTGTAAATATTAATAGTATAAGATAGACCTTTATTGACTACATAATATTTGCCTTAGCATGCTAAGTGACACTGTCATGTTACTTTGCTAATTATATTCCTTGATAAAAACTTTCAGTGTGTTTTTATCCCACTGGCTGTTTTTTGGTTTTTGTTTTTGCTTTTTTTTTCTAGTAGAAAGCTGATTTGAGATAACAAAAATCATTTATCTTCAGGAGAGACTTTGGAAGAGGTGCAAGTAGGTAAAGTGTAAACAAAAAAATATCTAAAACCTGCTATATTAATAATTATTCAGACTTGACTTAGACCTTTCATTTGTTAGCAGAGTTACTTTTATCTCTTTTTTTTAAGTGTGCTTTTGTCTTGTTGATAGAATTATATGAGTGTGTGCCTACCTCTGAATCCCACCACTGTCCTCAGGGATTCTTGGATCAAGTACTGCATACCTAATATGGGATCTGTCATTGCATCAATGTATTAATAGCATTGTATCAGTATTGCTGGCATCCAACAGGTTTGCATCTGAATGTGAACTGGATGAAGCCAACTCTGATAATTGCTTTTTGGGTATTTGCTGAAGATGCAAATGTTTTAGAAAGTCACTTTCTGTGTAATAGCCAGCACAGCACATGAGAGAAAGGTCTCAGAAAATGCAGTAGAGATTTGTTTTAACTTTCTATTCCATGCTTTTACCTTACTGCCACCTAAAGATAACTAACAGAAAATACATTGTACTACAGATTAGAGAGTTTTACTGTGATATGCTGGGAAGGAATGGAAACCCTATCAATGTCTTTCTTTTAAGAAGAATTCCTACACTTTCATATTTTCATGAAGATCATACTTCTTGGAAATGGGAAAGAAGTCTGCTGACTCAGTTCACTGAATTTATCTCTGGTCCTCCAAGGCAAGGTGTACTGACTCTGAAGCCAACTCACCCTGTTTCTGGCCAGGTCTGTATAACTCAGATCTCTCCAATACAGGCTGAAAGTAACATTTTCTACAGTGCATGGGGCCAGGTCACCTCTGTCTGCAGGGGTAAGGTACAACCCCTCTTTGATTCCACCTGGCTCAGATGTGAGTGTCTGCTGTGGAACGGGCAGCCTGAGCAGTTCCTCCTCATCAGCGCCATCCTTGGTGCCTTGTTTCTTTTTCAGTATTTTCAGTTTGGAGAATGCCTGCCTTTAAAGCAGCCTTTGGTCAGAGAGGGGAACTGAGGCATGAAATAGAAACACAATTAGCCCAGGACCAGTTAGACAGCCCACGGTGGAAATGGTGAATGAATTTAATCTCTCCCCTCTGCCCAAACTCTGCCGGTCAGTCACACCAGGGCAGCACAGCCCTGGCCTGCTCGAGCACTGCCCTGACAGTGGCACTGGTGGGCTCTGGCTCAGGCTGTGCCCTCCAGGCTCTGCCTGGCTGTGTGTTTGCTCAGTTGCTGGAAGCCCTGAGCAAGAGAACTTGGGCCTGACAGGTGATCTTTCATGGAGCTGTTGCCATTAGGCATTTTTACTGTATGACCTATTTTTTGGAGTGAAGTATGGCACTCTCTCTTGTTTAAACTGCAATATTGCATTTACACTGGTAATAAATCCCTCATATGTGCCTACTACAGGTTTACAGTCGGCATTTGGACTAAACTCACACTTCCACATCAACTGACCTGTTGTTATTTATTGGCTGAGCACCTGGACAGATGATCTTTCCCAGGATGGCCTGGCAGGACTCCTCTCAGGCAAATGCCCTTGAGTGCAGTCCTCACTCCTCTGTTCCTGAGGGTCAACTCCCTGCCCTGTGGGACCATTACAGATTCAAGCCTGTTTGGTTTTATATATTTGCAGACATTGGAAGGATCTGGCTCCACCAGCCTCACTACTAGTACCTGCCTCAAGCCAGTGATGACCCATTTTGTTAAAGTACCTGCCTGTGGTCATGTTGCAGTGTTCAAGATTGTTCATCCTCTGTCAAAGTTCCACTCTGAGGTCTCACAGACCTGAATCTTTGCTTGCTGGCTATCTGTATTTTCCATACCCATAAATAGGCAATTTAATTCAACTAAAAATGTGGTCAGTGATTTCCAAAATGCATTTTTGTATGGCTCTGAGTAACGCTTCTGATTGATACTTGCATCCTTCCTTAAAATATTCCCAAACTCAGATGCATTAGAAAGGTAATCAGAAAATCAGGCAAGTTATATATTTATTTTGGCAGAAGTTTCATACATTAGTGTTTTCTCCTGGAAGAATACTTCTGCTTCCTCCTTCATCAGTAGTTTTTGGAGAGGATAGAAAGAAATTATCAGAAGCAAGAAATCATTGACTCAAAATTTTCTGGAATTGAAAAAAGTTGTTTCAGGTCTCTGGGTTCAGGCCAGTTGCAGTCTGAGCAGCCTGAGTGCTCCTCCAAGGCAGAGTGGGTAGCTGATACTGATTGGAAATTTAGCTTTCCTGCCTACTCCATCTAGAGAACTTCACTGGTTTGGAGATTACTCCTTAGCAGCAGGTTCTACCAATAATGCTTTAGAGATTTAAAGTGTTTAAAGCATCCCGGGGTAGACTCTCTCTCTGTCCAGTTCCTAGTGAAGGACAAGATAATAACACTTGGGCACTTACAGAGGTGTCTCAAGCATTCATTTGAAATAATGAAGTCATTTTTCCTGTGTTCAGATGCAGCCCAGGTGTTCAGCGCTGTCCGCATCTGTTTGACTTTTACAAATACATTTTACTTATGATTTTCCTTATTTGTGGAATTGCATTTCCCTCAGTATCACTTTGTGCCTCCAGGACCTCCTTCAGAACCACCCTTTTTCATGGTTTCCAGAAATGGCAACACTGGCAGCACTGAGGGGTTTTTGGGACTCATAATTCCCCAGACAGATCCACAGCTACTACTGGGGTTCCACTGACAGTATCACCTGCTGAAAGGACAGGCGAAAATTTGGGTGGGATAATGACTTCCAAACCTGTAGAAAGTGACAGAAGACTCTACCTTTACTACTGGCATTAGGTCTGCCTTGAAGGATATGTTGCATTTCATATGTACAGAAACCAAGCATTTTCTTTCAGCCTGAACAAGGTTTGTGTTTGATTAAAGGGAACAATAAAATAAGAAAGGACCAAGTGCAGTTTTCCAAGAGACACAGCAGTGTCCTTCACTGGTTAGTGAAGTGGTTAGCAATATTCTGGTTAGTTCACAAAATGGTAGCATTTGGGATAAAAAAAGGCAACAGTGAAATCCCTGTATAAAATCTGTGCCTATGCTGACATTTCACTGAGGGATTAGAGTGAGCCTAGATAAAACTAGACACATGCATTAGCATTGGTGAATACAAAGTGAAATTAGCCTTGCAGAAGAGGTGCTGTTGCCAAGGCCCTCCTGGAGCTTAGTCTCTAGTTTGTCACTGATTTTAATTGGGAGCAGGTTTGGGCTTTCCTTTGGAGTTTGTTTTGGCTTGGGTTGGGGGTTTTTTTGGGTATTCAGTTTTTTGTGCATGTGTACTTTTGTTTTATGTCGTTGGGTTTTGTTTTTTTTTTTGTTGGTTGTGGTTTTTTGTTGTGGTTTTTTTTTTTTTTTGTGGTGCTGGTATTCCAGGATTACCATCTCCCAGGTGTCAGCCAGGCTGTGCTCACTGCATGCATCCTGTTCCAGCATAACTGATTCAAAGTCAACAGGAGAAAAGGTCTTGTCATAGGCTGAGCAGGGAAGCAACTGCACCTTTAATTCACCCACCAATGATTACAGCTTGGAGAAGAGGGAACAGAGGGTCCTGTCCCTTTGGGGATTAGAAGAGGACAGCTTGTGATGTTACCAGTGCTTCCCCAGACAGAAAGGGAAGTATTTCCATTTATTTGTGTAATGGATAAATTAGACCCCAAAGTATTAATGTGATTGAGAATTCCCAGAATCCCTACCCTATCATTTCACAGGGACCACCAACAACCAAAGCTGTCTCCACTGGTGCAAAATCTGTTCACTCTAAATAATTAAAAAGATTTGTAAAGCTGCTGATTTCCTTGTCCTTTGAATTACAGCAGTATCACATTTTTTACTTCAGTGCTCTTTTTTTTTGAAAATTTGTTCTACCAAATATGATTTGAATAAATGTAAGGACTGCAGTGTTTGCTGCACATTTAGATTGGTAGAATATTCAGCTATTTGTGTAACAAGATTTGCCTCTCATTTAAATGGTTCTCTGAATCAAAATAGATAAATGTTCTTGATCATTTGAAACCAAAAATTTTTCAGATTCTCAGAACAGGAATTATTTTTATTCCTTTTCAGTGGAGTAATATTCCATAAGCCTAGTTAAGTGTGTAATTTTTTCAGATGTTATTAGAGATGGAGTGTCATATCAAGAACTGAAAAATAGAAAAGAACATTAGGTCATGAAACTTATAAGAAAAAAACAAAAGACATAAAATTTAGTATCTGAACAATGCAGGCACAGACTGCAAGAATGTGTTATAAAGTGAGCAATGACTGAAGTAAATACCCATGTGATGTGGATGTGGGTCCACAGGGAAAACATCAGAAGGTGAGAATAGGGAAGACAATGCCATTGCAACAGAAAGGATGGTGTACAGACAAAATGTGTTAGTCTGAATACTAAAGTGTTATGTGAACACCGTGCT